AATAAATAAATAAATAAATAAATAATAAATAAATAAATAAATAAAATATAAACAAACATCTAAAATAAGGGGGAGACAAAGAGTTGGTAAAGCCCTCTCTACACAACCCTGATAATCTGAGTTCAATCCCTAGAACTAATGGTGGAAGGGAAAGAACCAACTCCACAAAAAAGTCGCCCTCTGTCCTACAAATGCATGTCATGACACACACACACACACAAACACACAAACACAAATGTATACATACAAACAAAAATAATGATGATTTTTAAAAGTAGGAGCTAGGGAAATGGCTCAGTGGATAAAAAGCTTGACACCCAAGCCCAAGGACTTGACTTCAAATCCCCAGAATCCATGAAACACCCAATGCAGCAGCACATATCTGTAATCCCAGAGTTCCTACAGTGAGGTGCGAGGCACAGCTGTTGGAACACCTGGAAGACTGCAGGCTAGCCAGTCTGACAAAGCAGTGGTCAGTGAGAGACCTGCGTCAAACCAGGTGAAAACCAAAGACCAACACTCAAGGCTGTCTTCTAACCCGTACACACACTGTGGCATCCATGTATACACACACAAACACCAATAAATAAATAAATGAAGTGCCTCAAAAATCACACTATCCCATTCTTCAATTCCCTATGAAAAGCAAAAGAGCAATATTTTGACACTGTTTTATACAGTGTAACAAGATAAAAGTCAAGGGTGTGGGCTGGGGAAGTGGCTCGGTGAGTAAGGCGCTTGCCACGAAAGTATGAGGCCTTGAACTCGAATCCCCAGTAGTGTGTGTCTGTGATCCTGGTGCTCCTACGGCCAGAAGGGAGGCAGCAACAGAATCCCTGGAAGCTCACAGGCCAGCTAGCCTGATGCACACAGTGAACAATGATGTGGCACTGTTTGAAACAGCAGATGGGAAGGACCAACACCCAAGGTTGTCTTCTGACCTTCCCACTGGTGTTGTGACAACCTCACTCCTACACTAACACACAGAAACATGTGTGCACACAAACATATCACACACAGACTTTAAAAAAAAAAATCAGGAGTTGGGGCTGGAGAGATGGCTCGGAGGTTAAGAACACTGACTGTTCTTGCAGAAGACCCGGGTTCAAATCCCAGCATCCACATGGCCGCTAACAACTGTCTGTAACTCCAGTTCCAGGGATCTGATAGTCTCTTCTGTCCTCCGCAGGCATTGCATGACACGGGTGCACTTACCTACATGCAGGCATAACATTCATACACATAAAATAAAAATAATAAATAAAATACTTAAAAAAATCAGGAGTGAAAGAAAGGCACAGACCACCTTCATAGCCCACAGAATGGTGCATGTGGAGAAAAGACATGCTATACATATGTGTTGGGGTTTGGAAGCTGTAGTCTAGCAGGGACATATTTACCACAAAAGGCTAGCTACTTTCAACTGGTGATTTATAGAGGTGAGAAAACATATTTAATTCCCATTCCTACTCAACAACTGGCAAATGTGTTGCCATTCCAAAACTTTACAACAAAGCCAGGCATGGCAGTGCATACCTGTCATCCCAAGACTTGGAGGATCAGGAGTTCAAGGTCAGCTTCAGTTACATAGTAAATTTGAGGGCCGCTTGAGTTACATGAGGGCTGACTTTTTATTAATTGTTTTGAGACAGGAGCTCACTATGTAGCCCCAGCTAGCCTGAAACTTGCTATGTAGACCAGGCTGGCTTTGAACTTTTTATGTAGTTAGAATGTCTGCCTCTGCCTCCAGAGCACTGGGATTAAACCACCATGCCTGGCTGAATTTTTTTTTTTTTTTTTTTACTATCCGTCTTCCTTCTTTCTCCAGCTTCCAAAGAGGAGTAAGGTCTCCTTCATCTCTGCCAAACAATCTAAGCTCATTATTTGTTTAGTGGACCAGCTATTGTTAAAGGACCTAATTATAGGCTTTTTCCTTAGGATACAGTGTTTCAAAGCTGATGACAATTTGCAGTGAAGCTATGGAAATTTGGTGAGTTTCCTACTAAGTACGAGTCACACCATCACACCATGCCTTGCTCAGTGACTTGAACATAGCAGAGTGGCCTTAAGGAACCAGAAGATAAGAGGGTGTGATGACCAACAGCATCCTGCCATCCTATAACTATACTTAATGGTTTGGCATCACTGGAGTTTCCATGATAAAGCTTATGAAGGCTGTTCAATTCTAAAATAGACAAAAGTAGGGGGTAGACCATAGGAGAACTTGAGTTACATGCCCCTGAAACAAGTCAGAGTGAACTAGACTGAGTTATAGGAAGAAACAGGAATAAAGAAAAGAGCTGTCGAAAGCTGAGTATGAGCCCAGGTCATAAAAGCAGTCCTACCTTCCACCCAATACCAGCATTCTTGTAATAGGGGAAGTTATCACAGATCCAGCGGTATATCTCGCTGAGGGTCATCTTCTTGGCTGGAGAAGAGTTGATGGCATACGTGATGAGAGTGGCGTAGCTGTACCTGGGCTTGCCATCCTGGTGGACTGCTGCCTCATCTTTGCTCAGGGTGGCATTAGGATCTGTGGGGGAGCCTGGGGAACACTTGCGGCTGCCCCCTGGAGGCCCGGCCTGGGAGGCGCTCCCAAGCTTCTCGATGGTAGCCCGGAGAGTCAGCTGGGGCAGCCAGTCTATGGAGGTGAGGCTACTCTCTAGGTCAGAGGCCATGGTACTTCTGGGTTCTACAGAGATGAAAACAAAGAGGAAAGACAGTACATGAGTGCTTCTTCTTGTCACTGTGGCAAGAAATAGTCCATTTCTAATATTTTTAAAAATATTTTACATATTTTATTTATTTTTATTTTCTGTGTACGAGTGTGTTGCCTGCATGTATGTGAGTGCACCCGTGTCGTGCAATTCTGCAGAGGTCAGAAGAGGGCTTTGGATTCCCCTGGAACTAGAGTTTTAAGGACGGTTGGTAGCTGCCATGTGGGTGCTGGGAATCGAATCCAGGTCCTCTGCAAGAGCAGTCAGTGCTCTTAACCGCTGAGCCATCTCTCCAGCCCCCCATTTCTAATATTTAAGGCAAGTAGTCTCTTCCTATTTTAAGTCCCACTGGAGAACTTTCCTGGGATGGCCCGGAACCCCCAGGTGGATGTATCATCAATCATCCACCCCAATGATGGAGTGTTATCCCACATCTTAAAGGACAGTGTGGCCATGGGGCCTCTCCCTTCATGTAGGATCAATACCAAAACTCACAAAACTGAGCTATTCCCTCAATTCTCCTTCCAGCCCCACAAAATAATATTTTAAAATTATATAAGTCTTAAGGGGCTGGAGAGATGGCTCAGCGGTTAAGAGCACTGACTGCTCTTGCAGAGGACCCAGGTTCAGTTCCCAGCACCCACATGGCAGCTAAGAACTGTCTGTAACTTCACTTCCAGGGAATCATGCCCTCTTATGACTTCCCTGGGCACTGCATGACACAAGTACATTCACATACATGCAGGCAATATACTCATACACATAAAAGTAAACATTTTTGCTAGGTGTGGTGGCGCTCGCCTTTAATCCCAGCACTTGGGAGGCAGAGGCAGGGGGATCTTTGTGAGTTCGAGGCCAGCCTGGTCTACATAGTGAGTTCCAGGACAGCTGGGGCTACAAGGAGACCTTGTCTCAAAAAATACAAAAAAAAAAAAGTAAATATTTTTAAAAAAGAATAAGTTTTTTAAAACACTTAGATATAGCCAGTCATGGTGGCGCATGCCTTTAATTCCAGAACTCAGGAAGTAGAGGCAGGTAGATCTCTATGAGTTCAAAGACAGTCTGGTCTATGGGCCGGGTGTGGTGGCGCACGCCTTTAATCCTAGCACTTGGGAGGCAGAGACAGGTGGATCTCTGTGCGTTCAAGGCCAGCCTGGTCTACACAGTGAGTTCCAGGACAGCTGGGGC